ATAAAACAAAAAAATGATAATTATGCTTGCTTAATTATTGTTAGTTTTAGTAGTGTAAATATCTTTCTTATAGATTTCTTGTGAATTGATCTGACTGTTAATACTAAATAAGTGGCATTATACTGTTGACTGTAGTGTTAAGACCCGAACATCACACCTGATAGTCCACTAAGATAATCCTTTGATCTTATAACCTTCATTAGTAAGAGTAAAAAAAAGTGTAAAATATTATTTGATAGCAAAATGGTTCTAATAACTGGTTGAAATAAGTGAATTTACTAACAACAGTTGTGATTGAATTTATTATTTATTGAAATAAACCTATCAGAGCAACAGATAATTGTGGTGATCTTTTCTATACAAGACAAACAATCATATTTCTTTTAATTATGGTCCATGTATTATTTAGTGAACTGGTGGCATTCATGACTTCAATTTGATATGAACCCAATAAGTAGATGAAATTCATATAAAACCTTAATTGAATCTCTTAGGTTTATGGCTTGCTTATTTATTTTATTTTTTTGCATCAATGGATGATTTAATTGTTCATCAATTTTCTTGTAAATACTTCTACTCATTGGGGAATTTAATAAATATTTTTGAAGTTGTTGACTTTGGAACAAGAGGGACCGAACTCGCTAGAGAAGTAACTTTGAACGATGAAAAGCTTAATAATTATTTTTACAGGCTTCTTGGCTTTGGAATAAGACGGACCAGACTCACTACAGAAGCAATTTGAAGGATGGAATGACTTGGTCATTTTTACTTGTAAATGATTCATTTGGGACCTCATCTTTTATGTTTTATTGATATGTAGAATAAATTTTGGGACCTAATCTTTTATGTTTTAGAGTTTATTTTCGTGCTTTGATATTCCGTAATTATTTTTATCTTTGAATGAAATTTGTGTTAGATTTTCATTGCAATCCTATAGTTTTTTGTGTGATGGATAAATAATTATTACATTGACAGCAATGGGTTGCTCAATTAGAAAAAAAAAAAAACTAATGATAACATGTTAAAACGATTTGAAGAATGCTACAAACTGTTTATCGTGCCATTTTGGTCAGTGGCTTAACATTTCCACTTGCATATCAGGTGTTCGATAAAATGTCTCTGAGAGAACAACAAGAACAACTGATTTTTCTATACACAGGAGTCATAAACCAGAGAAAAAAAATTCACCAAGTCGTCCCAAAGATTAGAACCATGTGCTGAAAGAGTTATCAAATGAGTTTCATATAATCAAATTGAAATATTTCAGAACAAAAAAAAAAAAAAATTGTACCAAATTACCCAAACAATGGAAGCAGATTCTAGCGGATTCGTTCGCTGTCTCCATGATATCTCTCACTATATTACATATATTTTTTATAAATATATACTACACTTCAGTTAATGGGAAATAAATCGAATTCTTAGTTTTTAAAAGTGTCATTGATCTAATCTACAGGTGTTCTAAGTACAGAACACCTTGGTGTTTTAGATCTAATCAGCAATCGGTTGGTCGACAAGATGAAGAACTCGTTCATCCATGGTTTTGGGTCCGTCACTACTTGCGATAGTAAATGGAAGACGGTTTTCGGCGTACTTGATGGTGCAGATCCGGCGAAGGCGAGGACATGGACGACGAATCCTGCGGCAGCTTCGGCGGAGGAGGACAAGGTCGGTTGTTCGAGGGAGTTACACGGCCCCGCTTCAAGGAGGAGTTCGCAGAATGAAGCAGCCGAAGGAGGGAAATGTTGTTTCGTTTTGCCCTAGGCCCCAATTTATGAGATATGAGGGTAGATTGGTAAACAAAAAGTTGCGTTTCCAACTCTTCCCAAATGGTGGTTCAGCTTTTTTCAACATCCATGGTGTTTTGATTTTGGACTGAGAACGCTGCGTTTTGGTAAGGTTCCCAAAACGGGTCTAAATATATGTAAATTTGGCCTAGTACATAATTTTTTGGGAACAACTACACATGCAATAGAGGTAGTAAAAATTAATTATAATTATTAATATTTATATTATTTATTATTTATTATTTTTTTTTGCTGCAGTGTCAATAAAAGTTTTCAGAATTTTTTTATTCACACCACCAAGTCTAATCTTTTGAAAAGATGAAAAAAGTCAAGTTATTGGCTATTTAGATTAGATCACCATTTTATTTTTTTTTTATAAATTTTTTGCAATAAATAAATAAAATTACTTTTCAAAATAGACCTAAAAGTAATAATAATGTTTGGTAATCTAAATTTTATAACCCGAGTAATTCGAATGTCTTAAAATGATCTCATTTTAAAATAAAGGAAAATGCCTCGTAGTTCGACTTTTAGAGGCTCGAAACGGCTCGAAATGGAGAAAGAGGGAGAGAAGAGAGGAAACAGAGGAGAAAGAGGGAGAGAAGAGAGGAGGAAGCGAAGAATAAAAAAATAACCTCATGCGTGAATATGACGGGTCAATTTTCAATTTGGAAAAATAATCAACCAACATATTATTTCACTGAAGAAAAAAGGGTCAACCTGACACTGCCGTTGCCCGAATTGACCATGACTTGTTATTTTTTTTAAAAAATGTTCCATAGCTTGAATTTGTATGATAAGAATAGTTTGAATATATTAAAATGATGTCATTTTATTTTACGGTTTCGATTGGTAGCTCGAATAACACGGCTCGAAATCTGGCTCGACACCAAAACGACGTCGTTTTGGTGTCGAGCCAGATTTCGAGCCGTGTTATTCGAGCTACCAATCGAAACCGTAAAATAAAATGACATCATTTTAATATATTCAAACTATTCTTATCATACAAATTCAAGCTATGGAACATTTTTTAAAAAAAATAACAAGTCATGGTCAATTCGGGCAACGGCAGTGTCAGGTTGACCCTTTTTTCTTCAGTGAAATAATATGTTGGTTGATTATTTTTCCAAATTGAAAATTGACCCGTCATATTCACGCATGAGGTTATTTTTTTATTTTTTAATTTTTTGGGTTGAGGGGCTGGTACGTTTCTATGATTTAAATTTGAATTAATTACTTAAAAGTTTTATTTATAAATGTTATGGTAATTTAGATCTTATTTAAAATTTTTTAAATTAATAAGCCTTACTTAATAAAATTAAAAATATTATTATTTTTTTAATTTTTAAAATTAAAAATATTATTAATTTTGTATAATAATGTTTCAGATAATTATTTCACTAACTGATAAAAAAAGAGAGTATAAGATTAAACGTTTTTATCCTTCTATTTATTGGTTTAATTCAACTATCGAATAAAATCGAGAATATTAACAGTTTTTCTCGATTTTAAAACTGAAAACATTATTGTTTTTTTTTTAGATTTGTACATCAATGCTCCATCATCATACTCCTTTATAAACACAAAATTTTCAGTTTTGCACCCAAAAAAAATTCAATTTTTTCAAATTTTTTTTTTAAAAAAAATTGCACATAAATTTTTTTTTTGGGCAGTTTTTTCAATTTAAAAGTTGATATTTTGAAGTTTTGGAAATCAAAATAAATGTCAAATTATCATGTTCCTTTATAGATAATCATAAATGATGAACAATCATTATTTAAAAGCAATTCCGACTATTAAAAATTTAATGAGACTTGAAGGTCCAGAAAATCTTAGTTAGGACTTAATGGATAAGTTTATGAATTAGGACTTATGTGTAAATGCCCCTTTAAATTATTTATTTAGTAAGATTCTTTATATTTATAATTCATAAAAAAAAATTACGTTTATCTTTTTTATTTTTTAAAAAAATAGATGGTCTATTGAAAAAATATAAAAGAATTTGAAAGAGTCATGAGGCCTATCTTAAGTCTCATTTTGATGATTTGAACTATTCATTTTAGAGGATTTTCAATGTATTATCAATAAAAATAATAATATCTATCTGATAATTATAATATTTTTATTTTATTGTATTTATCTCTAAAAAATATATATTTTATTGTTTTAAATGTATTCAAAATAAAAATATTATGATTATCGGATCAAATTAATTTTTTTTATAGATAATATATATTGAGAATTTTACAAAATAAAAAATTCAAATTATTAAAATAAAATTCACAATAAATCCCAATCCTATAAACTTCTCATATTCTCTCATATTGACAAGGTATTCGAAATGATTTAAATAAATATATTTTTTAATTTTTTTCGAAAAAATATAAAAATAATATGATTAAAAAAGTAAAAAATTAAAAAATGTACAATTTTATTTTAAAAAAAATCCAAATAGTGCCTAAAAATGTGAACACGAGATAAACTAAACATATATGAATTTGGTCCGATATATAAATTTTGAGTTAATTACTTAAAAGTTCTATTTATAAATTTTATGATAACTGAGGTTCTATCTAAGATTTTTTTAAACCAATAAGTCCTATTTAGTAAACTGAGAATGTTATCACTTTTTTTTCAATTTTTAAAACTAAAAATATTATCAATTTTATATAGTAATGTTTTAGATAATTGTTTCACTAACGAATAAAGAAATAGAGTATGAGATTAAATGTTTTTGCCTTTCTACCTATTTGATTGATTCAACTATTCAATAAAACCGAGAACATTACCAGTTTTTTCCAATTTTAAAATTGAGAATATTATCAGTTTTTTCAATTTAATTTTTTTTTTTAATTTTGCACATCAATATTTCATTATCATATTCCTTATAGATACAAAATTTTTAATTTTACACAAAAATAAATTCAGTTTTTTCAATCTTTCGAAAATATATATATATATATACATTTTTGCACATAATTTATTTTTAATTTTTTTAATTTGAAAGTTGATGTTTTAAAATTTTAAAAATCAAAATAGCTGTCAAATAATTATATTCATTTAGACATAATCATAAATAATGAACAATCATTATTTAAAAGACAAATTTAATTATTAAAAATTTAATAAGATTTGAAAATTTTAAAAATCTTAATTAATTTAATTTTTTTTTTTTAGATGGCCAACATAAATATCAGACAAGAAAAAACATAATCAAAGAGACACTTCCCTCATAACGAGGGAGCGTAAAGAGAGCGGAACGTCCTCCATCCATATGGAAAAATCCTCCAAAGCAAACGCCATCCGAGCGAGACTATGGGCTACGGAATTCCCTTCCCTCTTCACATGTTGAACAACCCAGGAATGAAATCCGAGCAGCAGAGATTTTGCCTGCTCCACAAAATGCCCAAAGGATGCCAAGGACTTCGAACCGGAGTGAAAGGCGCAAACTATCATTAGTGAATCACCTTCAAAAACTATGTTGTTTAGCCCCAGATCCAGCGCGAAATGAATAGCAGCCAGCGCTGCAAAAGCCTCAATGCAATCCACCTCCATTCCTAACACCCTTTTGGCGGACATGGCAGCTAGGACTGAGCCCGTATGGTCCCGAACCACAACCCCAACACCAATAAAACCTTCGGCTACATCGCAAGCCCTATCAAAATTAGCTTTAAACAGCCCTTCCGCGGGAGGAGACCAACGAATTGGCATAGGAACATGCTGCAACACCCGAACACGAGTCTGAACTGTACAAACTTCTTGAAAATATTCATATGCATACTGAGCAAGCTCCACCGCAAATTGGGCCTTGTTATTGAACACCACTTGGTTGCGATGTGTCCAGATGCACCAGCACATTACCCAAAACAACTCCCCTGTTACTAAATCAACAGATAAAAAGAACTCTAAAAGCCAGTCGAACAAAGTCCCAATCTGCTGAGGATGAGCAATCTGGGCGAGACTGCTACAGGCCCACACCTTGTTTGCAAAAGGGCAATCCAAAAAATAGTGTTGAATTGATTCAGTAGCTCGGTAACAGAGACCACAATCGGCATTAGTTAAGACCTGCCATGCCCTTAACTTGGAGCGCACAGGCAAAATTTCCAAGCACAATTTCCAGCCGAAAACTTTGATCTTACCAGGAATACGCATATTCTAGAAGTTCTTCCAAAAACTAGCCCGATCCTGCCCACCATTCGACGACGACGCATGCTCAGATCTGCTGCGAATACCCATTTCAAGATGGTAAGCCAACCTAACCGAGAAATGACCTTGTTTGGTATAATGCCACACTAATACGTCCTCCGCCGAAAATGGACAGATAGGGATTAATTTAATAACCTCAATCTCAGAGGGAGGGAAACAAGCGCCCAGCACGCCCTCATCCCAGTTCCCCAGATCATGATCAATCAGGACACTCACCGTAGCATCAACACCCAAGTAAGAAGGTGGGGGGTAGATTTTGAAAGAAAAAGGCCGCGGAACCCATTTATCTTTCCAAATGCGAATTTGAGCCCCATTACCCACTCGCCATCATAATCCTTCCAGCAAGAGAGACCACGCATTCCAAATACTCCGCCATGAGAAGGACGGACTGGCCCCCACAGGTGCATCAAGAATCGAGCCGTGGGGGTAATATTTGGCTTTCATTACCTGGGCCACCAAACTATTCGGAAATTGAAGAAGTCTCCAAGATTGCTTAGCCAGTAGAGCTTTATTGAAAGCCACTATAGATCGGAAACCCATCCCACCATCAGTCTTCACCATACAAAAGGTTGACCAACTGCACCAATGGATCTTACGCCGTTCCTCCCGTTGACCCCACCAGAAACGAGCAATCATACCACTAATCTCACGGCACAGCCCATCCGGCAATTCAAAACAAGACATGATATACGTTGGGATAGCTTGAACGACTGCTTTAATCAGAATTTCTCGTCCCACTACTAACAAGGATTTTTCTTTCCACCCATTAAGACGCTGCCACACTTTGTCCTTGATATAACCAAACACTGCCTTTTTGGACCGACCCACAACAGACGGCATCCCAAAATATTTCTCGGTAGTCACCAAATGGCCCACACCCACTACAGCTGAAAGACAAACCTGCTCCTCCAGCCGCACATTCGGACTGAAACATATCCAAGATTTGTCAAAATTCACTCGTTGCCCATAGGCCAATTCATATTTCCGCAACAAAGCTTGAACGGTATTCAAAAGCACGGAGTAAGAGACACTCGATACACAGTTCATCACCAATCCAACAAAATTTAATGGGAAACCCATCTTGATCATAACCACCTCCAAAAAGCCCCACTCCACCCGGTCGTAGGCTTTACTCATATCAAGCTTTAAAGCAAAATACTTGGTTCTGCCCAATCTCTTATTCTTAAGGTAGTGGAACACTTCGAATGCCGTCAACACATTGTCGGTAATTGCCCGTCCTGGGACAAAGGCACTCTGATTTACAGACACTACTATATCTAACACCTCCTTAAGCCTATTAGCTAAGACCTTCGAAACTAGCTTATACACAACATTGCAAAGGCTGATTGGATGAAATTGACTCGGCAGTTTTGGGTGTTTCAATTTTGGTATGAGAACAATATATGTATCATTAATCACAGAAACGTAATGACCCTCATTCAGAATTCCCAACATGGCCCGACACGCATCGCCACTCACCAAATCCCAAAATTTTTGGAAAAAAAAAGCTGGAGTACCATCAGGCCCAGGGGCCTTTATGGGGTGCATCTGGAATAAGGCTAGATGAACCTCGTCTGAGACAAAAGGCCTAGTCAAACGCTGAGCCATGCCTGCAGGTAAAGAGGGAGTAATACAGTCAACTACCTCGTCCATATCCCGAGGATTATGGGTGGTAAACAAATCTTGAAAATAGCTGATCACAATCTTTTCCAATTCAGCTGGCTTCGAGCACCACTCACCCCTCCCATTTCCCAGACCAGATATAGCTTTCTTCTTCTGCCGTTGGGAAGCTTTCGCATGGAAGAAGGCAGTGTTTCTATCCCTATCCTTCAGCCAGTTCGCACGAGCCCGTTGAGCCCACATCACCGATTCTTTTTCAAGAAGCTCATCTACCTCTAGTTGGACGTGACGTAACTCCGCCAAATCAGCATCACTAGGAATAGGCAGAGCTTGTAACCGTTGAATAGCTGCCAATTTTAAATTCAAACTACGTTGCACATTACCCAGAACCCACCAATTCCAAGCTTGCAATTGAGAAGCCACTGCTTGCAATTTACGGGTCACCAGCTCAACACTAGAGAGATTACTTTCCTGATGCTATTCCCTTGTAATGATTCCTTCACAATCATCCTCTCGCAACCACATTGCTTCAAAACGATACAACTTCCGGAGTTTCGGCCTCTGAGCCATCTGAGCTTTAAGCCCTTCCAGGTCTAATAATATTAGGAGATGGTCAGACGATGTACCACCCAGATGATAGACCTTAGCCAGCGGAAAAGAAGTAAGCCACCTCCCATTAGCCACACACCTATCCAAACGTTCACGAATCAAACCACCACCCGTCCGGCCATTACACCATGTAAAAGCTGCCCATCAAAATCCAAATCAGCTAAATCACAATCAGAAAGGACCTGTCGGAAGCCATCCATCTGCCTTTGACTTCTCGCCGCCATCCTAGATTTTTCATGAGCATACAAAATCTCGTTGAAATCTCCAGCACACACCCACGGCAGATTCATCTGATCCTGAAGTCGTCGCAACAGTTCCCACGAATCACCCCTCAAAGAAGTATTCGGGTTTCCATAGAACCCAGTAAACTGCCATGATGTAGCCCCAGACTCAGTGAGGATTATTGAATCAACATGGCCCTTTGAATAACTTTTAATCTGTATCTGAAGCTCACCAACCCACAATAAGGCTAAACCCCCCGATAGCTCCACCCGATCAACCGTAAAGCACCCCTGCATACCAAGTTTATAGCGAATCCGCTCCATAGCTCGAGCATCAAGTTTGGTCTCCACCAGGAAAACCAAGGCAGGAACTTCCTTCTTCAACAAAAGTTGAAGGAAACAAACTGTCTGTGGGTTCCAAGCCCACGACAGTTCCAGCAGATGATTTTCATGGTTGTCAGCGGGGCTGGGACCCAGCCTCCGCCGTTGAATCAGGACCGGCCACGAGAGCACCCAGTCGAGCCCGCTTCTCCTTTGAGTCACCGTCGTCGGCCTGTGCCTCCTTATCAATCAAATTTCGCTTCACACCCACGTGTAGTGCACTAGACCCAGAATCCCCTATGTGGTTACGAGCAATTTTCTTCCATTTCTTTCCCATCCTACCAGCTTGTGCTAAAGAAACAAGGGGCTCTTCTCTCTTCACCAAAGCTGGAGACTGTAGCACAAACCCTTGATCTAAATCCATCAAGTGAGCGTAAGGGTGAGCCGACATAGTTAGCCAACCCAGACGAGCCCAAACTCACAGGGTCCCCCTTAGTCACAACAAAGTTGTAGCCAATAGAATGGGCCTCATGGAGAGCATCATGAAATGGCCCATTAGCCTGAATGGGCTCCTGGGAAAAAGAATCCACTTTTCCCCCCACTAGCCCATAGTCAGTAGGCCCAGAGTTCAAAAATTCAGCATGCAGTAACCTGTCCTGCTCAGTCTCCTTCTGAGAAGGCAAAAAATCCCCACCTTCCCCTGTTAACGCCAAAATCTTCTCCTGTTTTGACGCTGACTGATCATCCTTTCCAAATAGAGAGGCTCCTTCCAAAGTAGGAGAAGACACAACCACACCTGGATCCTCCTCTCGGCGGAGTGTTGGCTCCGGCCCTGACAAACCAGTAGCACCAACCTTACCCCTGCTCTGACTACGGCTCGCAACAGGAGACGTAGGGCGAGATCGAGGCTTTTGAACATCCGCACGCAACCATGGTCCATATTGTACTGCTTTACCAGTTCCAGTCTCTGTTTGTGACAGCAAAGTATTACACTCCTTCTCGCTATGCCCTAAAACACCACAAAAATAACAAAAGTTAGGTAGTCTTTCATATTTAAAATCCACCCAAACGGACTCCCGGTTATGAACCGCAAGCTTCATACCCCGGCGCAAAGGCTTAACCACATTAATTGTGACTCTGATACGCAAATACCGGCTAACCGCCATTCCACCAGACCCATATTCAACATCCACTATAGAGCCAATCTTATTCCCAATCAGGTAACCCACCTCCTTAGTCATACTGATAAGAGGCAGATTATGAACCTGGATCCAAAAGGTAGCCTCAGAGAGTAGAACCTCGGAGGGTTGGAGATGCACATCCACCGCATTCAAGAGAATAAGGTGTTTATCAAAACTCTAGGGGCCATTAAGCAGCACCCGACGTTTGTCCGCGATGTGGTGAAATTGAAATAGGAACAGATTCATCCCAATGACGTGAAAATCCATACCTTTCGCTGGCCGCCAAACCATCATGAGCGTAGACTTCATGGCCTCCACATTGAAAGGTCGAGTGGTCAGCACCTTACCCACTAAACCTAATCCAGCCCTCTCTGTAAAGGACGTGGTTAGCAACTCATCCACTACCACAGTATCCTCTTCATCCGCCGTAAGAGCTAACCGACTGGCAAGATCGGCAATAGAGTCGACCATAGCGCCAACACGACTGCCCCAGTCGTCACCCTAGACGGAGAAAAAACCTTGATCTTTTTTCCATATAATTCTCTTTTTAAAATACAATATTTGATCTTTTTTCCAGCCCACCCATCCCTCCCCCAATGTAATAATATAATGGTTATTCTCCCTCTTTGCCAATAGTCCAAAAGGTAAACTATCAATAGGTCCTAATAGTTAGACTTAATTCTTATCAAGTCCTATGGAAAATAAATTTTGGTAAAATCGTCGCTAAAAATAATTTTTTTGTGATGATTTTTTACATATGTCGCTAAAAATTGACAATTAGTGACTTTTTGTTGTCATTATTTTTATAAATTGTCACTAAAACTTACAATTAGTGATTTTTTTGTGACGATTTTTTAAAATTGTCGCTAAAGCTTATAATTAGTGACATTTTCTGTGAACTGTAGGTGTTAACAACGGTCTGATTCTTGTTGTTGAGAGGAAGGTATTTTTATATGAAGAAAAATGGCAGGAGAGTATGAATAATTTAATTACTATGCTGATAAGAGAGAGAGGGAGAGTATTTTTCTTAGAAAAATAGCATAAAAGGAATCATTTTATGATCTTAATGGTGGTGGTATCTCTAGTAATTGTCAGCTAACTGCAAATGAGTCGAGCTGGATAGTAAGTTGTTGAAATTTGACTTGAAAAATTTAACTTGACTTGTTTAGTTTTTAAATTGATCTCAAACAAGTTTTATTGAACTGAGCTTTGTTTTACTTCCTATGTGTATTCATATAATAAAAATTATGCATATGTTTTGAACCCACTATATTTAACAAATAATGAGAGAATCATATTTTCATGCTGTTATAATTGTTCTATTATCCCTTTGTCAAATTGTATTCCCATACTCCAACACGCTTCACAATATTTAACTTTTCGAATGATTAATTGTTTCTTTGTTACTACTTCATATTCATAGAAAGGAATATACCATATGAATATATCTGTTAGACCATGGTATTTTTATTTGTTCTACCTCATGAAAGTGATTTTATGGAATATGCTCCTCAATTTCCACACACTAGAGCTGGAAGAGGTTTGTTTTGTTCCAATGATCCAATGTGAATCCTAATTACACGAGTAGTTGATAAAAAACACTTATTTTTCTTTCATTCTTTCTTTTCGTTTTCTTTTATTTATTTATTTAATTATAAATATTTAGTGATGAAAACAATTTTTTGTTTTGTTTTATGTGTTATCATTTTTTATTTTTATTTTTTGTGGGAAACAACATATAGACAATAATAGCAAGAAGAAAACAAAAACAATCTCACACAAGAAACAACACAGAGATTTACGTGGTTCGGCAAGATTGCCTACGTTCACGGCTCACACTAATTTTATTATATTAGAGGGAATGAAAAGAGAGTACAATTGGCTGCTACAGAAAACAACACTATATATAGCGCTAGTGCTACATCAACAATTACCAGTGTTTGATTCTTATAACAAAATAAATTCTGAAGTTTTAATTTTGTCATTTTAAATTCTAATATTTCAATTTATTTTCAATCTAAACCATGCCTATTTTCGTTAAAGAAAACCAATAGAAAAATGGTTATTTTAATCATCAAACTCAATGAAAATAATATTTTAAACATTTTATGTACACTTACATTGAGTTTAATGGCTAAAATACTTGTTTCTTGTCAGTTTTACTTAACGAAAATAAACAAATGATTTAAATTGATAATAAATCAAAAGATTACGAGTTAAATTAACAAAATAAAAAATTCAGAATTTATTTTATTGCAAGGATCAAACTTCAATTTTTTTCCCTATATTTTTTTATTTGTATATTACTACGACATACCTTTGTTGGCTTTTGGCTAGGATAAGTTTATTAGTTGTTCTTATCATTAACAGCAATGCTAGGTATCATGAAAAATCTTTCATGAAAATGGTCATGAAAGATTTATGACCTTTAGATTACACTTACAATAAAACACCACACACTAATCAAGGTAATCTAAGGGTCACAAATTTTTCATGATTTTTTTCATGACAAAATTTTCATGACCTCTAACATTTCTCTATCATTAATAGCAATAAAATAACAGTCTTTATTACAAACATCATTAATGGAACACAAATATAGCCAGAGTTTTGAAACCTGAGAAACATGAAGAAAAATCTAAGCCATGTTGACCGTGGTGGGAAGGCAAGCCAAGCTATTCACTTGTGTCCTTGTTCGAAGTTCCCTTTTTGAATCAACATATCTGTAAAAAGTCAGAATCTTGGATTTTAAAAAAAAAAAAAAAAGTAGCCATTTCTCATGCAAAGTATCAAAGTGATTGATACATTATGTTGATTTACCAATATTTTGCACAAAGAATGGGGGAGATTTATGATCTTGCTTCATTTGTGCAGCAAAGGATGAATTTTTACTACATCGGTCTACACCAAGGATGCAAAAAACCTGAAATGTGTTTGTGTGATTTGCTTTTTTAATCGAAGTCCATTTCAATGTATTTGCTGACAAAGAGTTTTTTTGTTTTGTGTGTGGGAAGTGTGGGTTGATTACACGACTTCAACTTTAAAATTGTGTTTTTAAAACATGACTTTTTAATAAGGTCGTGTTTTTAAATAATTTTACTATAAAAAACTTTTAAAGTCGAGTTTTCAAAACACCATGTTAAACTTTAAAATCAACTTTAGAAAACATTAGTTTGGAAAGTAAGTTTGGAACCACTTGAGTTTTGGAAATATGATTTACAATCAAATGCTTTCTGTTGATGAAAAATCTTGAAAGGTTTTTAAACAAGGAACTAATGATTCAGTGTAAAATTAGAAAAAAAAAAATTTACACATCAATTGTAAACTACATAAATATTAATAATTAAAATTCTAAACTTTTGTATGTGTCTGTAAATTTTTTTTTTAAAAACTCATTGGGCTATAATTTCCCTTTCTAAGATGTTGAAGGATACATATTACTTGAGGAACAAAGTGGTCCTTATTATTAGATTTAAAAAAGACTCATGTTCCAAAAAAAAAACTTGAAAGAGACTTAGTACCTTTACGTAATTACCCACATGGGCCTTCAGTTATGTTCTGCTCCCATCATTCTTCTTAAGCGGTTCAAGTTCATCATCATAAGTTCATAACAACGAAAAGCCAATCCCAATGCCATGCCAAGGTAGAAGCCCAGGTTTTCGTTCTCATCTTCATCTTTGTGAGTCTTAACATGTTGGTTTCCATCAGCATCTCTATCATTAGGCATCAGACACTTGGTTGCCAATGGAGGCCCACAAAGTTCTGGGTTACCCTCGTAAATAGAAGGATCATTGAAGGTTAGGAACTGGTTGACGGAGGGAATTGGTCCCGACAAATTATTAAATGACAAATTCAATGAGTTTAGTGAGGTCATAGAGGACATGGTTAGAGGAATTGGATCTGAAAGGTGGTTGCATGAGAGGTCAAGTGTTTCTAACCGTTGTAAGCTTCCAATCTTCTCTGGTATTTTCCCTGTCAGTCGGTTGTGGGATAAATTTAAGGTACCCAAGGTTGAGAGATCTGTTATTAGTTCTGGGATCTCCCCCTGAAGATTGTTGCTCTACAAGTCAATGATATTTACCAACTCAAGAGTCAAGGTATATATCAATTGTCTTCCTTTCATAACCAATTCCATTTCCTTTTTCATTTCCATTTCCAATTCCATTTCCGTTTCCATTTGCATTTGTGGACCATACAGGTCACTCCTAGAGGGTTTATATGGGCTATATGATATCAACGAATTCAGAGCACCCAATTTTCCCAAGCAAGATGGAATGGATCCCGATAAATTATTAAGAGCGAGGTCTAGGATGTGGAGGTGAGTAAGAGAGCATAGTTGTTCAGGAATATTTCCACTGAACATTTTAGCTCGTATGCGCAGTTCTGATAGTGATAAGAAGTCTTTTCCAGTGTATTTGGGTATGTTCGCGTAGAATCGATTTTCTCCAAGATCAAGCATCGTCAAGCCTTTGCAGTTCTGGAATGCAAAAGAGATTTCCCCTGAAAGATTGTTGCTGCTTAATTTTAACCAAAAAAGCGCTGGTAGTGAGCAAATTGAACTTGGAATCTCACCTTGTAAATTGTTTCCGGATAAATCTATGATTCCAAGACTTGGTAAATCCCTCCATTGATTATGGATCTTTCCAGATAAATAGTTGTTTGATAGATAAAGCATTGCTAGATGTTCCATCCTACCTACGGACAATGGGATGCTACCATTTAGGAAGTTCAGATAAATCAAGAACTTCCAATGACAACATCATTTGGTTGATGTTCATGGGAATTGATCCTGAAAATAAATTGTTTGCCAAGAGGAGATGTGACACATTAGGCCAAACTGGGAGTGAACCCTCTAAGCAATTGAAACTTAAATCCACTAGATATGCTCTAGAAAATACTAATGAATTGGGAAGCACTCCATGTATCCAATTACCAGAAAGATCTAACCAAAAAATCTGTGGAGATAACTCCCAAAGCCAATAAGGTATTGTTTCTGAAATGGCAACGTTTGTAAGCCTTATATAAGAAAGTTGTTTTTGATTACTTAGCCACGCTGGAAATCTGGGACCCAATCGACAGTTCCGGACTGTGATTTCTGTTAGGCTAAATGGAGGAACCCATTCGTGGCTCATATTGAAGATTAAACTTTTGTTCGACGATGATATTCCGAAACTTTGCAATTTTGTGAGGCCTTGCAAATGATTTTGGGAGAGAGCACCTTCCCAGTAATTGTTATCAAGTAACAAGAAGTTTAAGTTTGCAAGTTTTCCGATGCCATCTGGTATGGACCCATTCATTTGATTAAAAGAGAGGTCTAACATCTCCAATTTGGACAACCTTCCAATTGATGCTGGGATTGGGCCTGAGATTAAGTTATTAAAAAGTAGAAGGTATCTTAAGTTCTGAAGGCGTGCTAGTGAATAGTCTGGCAACTGTCCACTAACTTGGTTATTTCCTAACCATAAATCTTCTAAGCTGAAAAATCTAGGAATCCCTTACATATTGATTTGTGATTATGTATCAATTTAAAGCAATAAAACAATCCTAATCAAACAATCAAGACAAATCGACACAACGATTTTAATGTGGAAAAACCACAATTGAAGCACCTCCAATTGTGATAAAAAAATCATGGGCAACAGCCACAAAACAATCCACTAAGAAGATATAAAAGAATTACACAGGTATACTCTCAATTACCTAGCGAATCCACGCCCGAATTGAACCAATCCCTATGTGCCTCTTCCAACCCCGTCTTCACTTCGGAATTGTCTTGACGATGAGCCACTCCAGAATCCACCAAAGTTTTAGGCTCGAATTCTTCAGAATACACCGAAGAACAACTCTCTCTTTTGTATAGAACAAACAAATAATTTTTTGATGTATACTCTTTAAACCATGAATTGAATACTCAATCAAAACATCAAAGAAAACTAGCAAAATATCCCCAAATATAAACCCTAGAATCCAAGAAGAAGATCTGGAGAAGTTCTCCTAGATTTGGAGCAACTTGCGAATTTATAGAATCTGGAATCGTGAGGTCCGCTCGAGCGTGGGAATTGACGCTCGAGCGGGGACACTATATGACGTGTTCCAAACCAGGATGTACGCTCGAGCGGGGATTTTGACGCTCGAGCGTGAAAACACGGATCACAGTATTTTTGCAAACTCACCCAACTTCTGGAACTCAGCATTCTCCGCTCGAGTGGGGGAATGGACGCTCGAGCGGGGAGGCAACTTTGAATGCATTTTTGCATTTTGCTTCAGGGGCGCTGCCCCTCGACCCTACGAGCTGACCAGGTAGCTCGACCCCCGTCATAATCAGCGAAGTGGCAATCTTGAAAGCATTAATATCACAAACTTCTCTGCAAGGCACAATTCGGGTTGGATTCGCATCTAAAAACTCATAGCCTCACTGAAATAAAAAAAGCGAAAACAAATACAACTTAAAGGAGTTTTGTTAAACGGGATTGCCAAAAATAAAAACCTAACAATCTCCCCCTTTGGCAATGCCGTGACAAAACACACCTAACAAATAAAATCCTAAACACCCCAACACATTACAGCCAATAAAAGCAAACTTCTTTCTCGAGGTTATGATCTGCAAAACAGCTATTAGTGCCACAACGCCCAAAAACAACTATTAGTCCCAAAAGAGAATATGAAAAGGCAATAAACATATGACAAGATTATCTTGAAGTATGAGATGGAAACATTAATAGATGGCGACTTGGAGATTTTAAAAACCATGTAGCATGAATAGTATTGAAAAACTAAAACACACCCCTTTGTCATGAATTGACAAAGGAAACTCAAACAAAAAAGCAAGACATAAACCACACAAGCAACGATATTGACGATGTGAAGATATCAGAGTATGCAAGAATGGAAATAATAAGCAAACAGTGCAAGCAACATGCAAAACAGTATAGCCAATCTCTCTACCAAACATACTCAAGTGTCATGCTAAAACAACTCTTGCAAATTGAAAAAACAAACTCCCTTACCAACCCAAATCAAGATGAACCAAACGTCCTCCTCACTAAAATCAAACCACAACACTGAAAACAGTGAACAAGAAGAAAAAGACAAAAAATAATATGGTGGAGCAAGCAAGGAATTTCAGACTAGTACCTTAAAACACACAAGACTATCCAAGAAGTACAATTACTAGAAAACACAATGTGCACAGCCTCTAGAAGATTCCTCATAAAAGAAAGTGATGCATTATGTGAAAAACATAGATCCCATGAGAAAAGTGTGTGTGTGATTCTTGGAGTTCGACAAACTCAAGATTCAAATCCCAGTAGTGATATGAAAGCTGGACCTCTGACAAGAGAATCTAAGCACAACAAAGGAAAGTCAAACCACTAGGAATCAAGGGGTATTTGGTGAGTAAAGGCGGAGACTCCCCTCAAATCAATGAATCATTTATTTTTTCCTTTTTTTTTTCACATCTTTTTTTCTTTTCTTTCTTTTGCATATTTTTTTTCTTTTTCTTTTTCTTTTTCTTATTCTTTTGCACACTCATTGGCGGCTGACACGCTCAAGAGTATGGAAACCAAACCAGAGAAGTATGGATATAATAAGAATGGCCTGGTTGGTGACTCTGAGGTAGCCTTTTCCTCATGGTTGGACTAAAAAGAATAGAGGGGAAAGCCGTGGAGATGCAAAAAGATGGAAGGTGGTTAAGAGACTCAACATCACCCAAGATATGCTAGTATCGGTCAATTCCTCTTAGAAAAACAAAAAATACCATGCTAGAAGTCCATAAAAAAAATAATCACTAAGGCGGAAGACTCCGATATTTGCATCCAAGAGTGTGTACAAAATGAGACATACTAATCAAAAAACACACACTCCAAAATGAGTAATGACCACAGAAAGCACACACATATTAACATGTAATGGATATTATCATCAATTCCAATATGCACCAAGGACCACTCAAAAATTTTAAGCTTGCAAAACCATACTAAGAAAATCTTTTTAGTTTTTTTTTTCATTTTTTTCCCTTTTTCTAAACAAAGCAAGACATAAAACGAACATGCACACATTTTTCCCCCCCTAAACACAGCAAGTCAGAGAACGAACATACACACACTAAATGACTCAAAAAAAAACATACAGAAACCCAAAAACTAAAACGACTGAACAAATTAACACAAGTCAAGTTTTCTCACCCAAACTGCTTTAGTATGAACAAAGTTGTGAGACTTGCGGTTCTTGGGTGATGTCTTGACGTTGTGGTTCCCTTTGCTTTCAATAAGAACCCGTCTCGACTTGGTTTCCAACTTCCTATATCTAGGTCTAGGCAAATACAAACTCGCTCCATGTTTGGTCTCAAGCTGATCAAAATAATGAGGTCTGATATGACCTTTAACCTCATTACTACCAATGAAGTGTCTCCTACCCCACGGAATGTTGGAATTTCTTCCATCTCTATGAGACACTCTCCCATACAGCTTATAACAATAAGGGCGAATATGACCATGCATACCACAATGATGACAAATAAAAACAGGGTGTACAGGGCGTACCTTCTTTTCTTTTACCTTACCAACTCTAGGAAGTTTGAGAAGTCCATCCTTATGTTGAATTTTTTGTTCTCCCTTTCCTTGAGTTCTTGTATCATGAGATGTAAATGCACTCTGTTTTTGCTCTTTGCTATCACCAAAGCCAATGCCGCTCTTGTTAGAACAAATTTGTTGAGACCCAATGATGTTGTCCAAAGTCTTTGATCCTCTGTTCCAAAGACCAATGGTTGCCATAGCACTCTTGAGCTCTTCCTCTTTCTTGATCATTAGTTCTTCCAAAGCAACTTGAGACATCTCGAGAGTTTCAATCTTTTCTTCATATGTTGCATAGATTTGTTGTAGCTCATTCCTCTCTGTCTCACAAGTCAAGAGTTTTTCACAAAGAGCTTGTCGATCATTAAAAATTTTAAGGGCATCATTCATAGCCTCGAAAATCTCTTCCTTTAGTTTGACATTCTCACTTTTCACATACTTTGAGTTTCATAGTGAGTTTGTCATTCAATTTGGATAACTTAAGAGATTCCTTATACAACTTTTCATAAGCTTGCTCAAGCTCTTCATCATCACTTCCCGAGGATTCATCATCAGTGGCATTATCAACTGGGGTCTTCGGATACTCTGTTCGTCCTTCAATTTCAGAAGCTGCCATGAAAGCAAGGAATTGTTTATGTCCCTTTTCGCCTTGATCTTCGTTGTCACTTTTATCTTCATCAGATTCTGATTCATCATCCCAAGTGATGGCGAGGGCTTTCTTCTTCTTCAAATGAATGGGGCATTTTGAAGCAAAGTGGCCAAATCCTTGGCATTCATAGCATTGGACTCTTTCAGAGCTCCCTTGTATATTTCATTTCTCCTTCTTGGCTATAGAATTAATTTTGAGTTTATTTTTGCCTTTAGATTTATGAGTATGAGCAGATCCCAAAAGTTTAGGATTCTTTTTTAGAAAAGATTTTTTAAATTGTTTTATAAAAACATCTGTAATCATGGAATCTATCACACAATTCTCATCAGAATCCTCTTCAACTCTATGAGTACTACTATAAGCAATAGTATCTTTTTGTTTCTTTTTGAAATTCCTATGTGCCTCATAAGTTTGGAGATTTCCAACCAAATGATCTAGCTTGAAGTTATCAACATCTTGAGCCTCCTCAATAGCCGTAACTTTTGGTTGGAACTGATCGGGGCAAGGATCTCAAAATTTTTCCCACAACTTTGGATTCTAGTATTTTTTCACCTAAATTGAAGCTGGAATTTACAATGTCACTCAACTTCGCATAAAATTCATCAAAGGTCTCACTATCTTTCATTGAAAAGTTTTCGAAACTAGATGTGAGCCTTTGAAGTTTTGAGTGTTTCACAGAAGGAGTGCCCTCATGAATAGTTTGTAAGATATCCCAAGCCTCTTTTGCGACTTCACAATTACAAATACGACTAAACGCTTCAGGTGTGACAGTGCAAAAGAGAGAATTGATAGCTTTACTGTTCTAGCTACTATTTTGGTAATCAATTGTGTCCCACTTATCGATTGGTTTGGGAAAAGTTACTCCATCAACGGTAATCGTCGGTTCAGTCCACCCATACATGACAGATTGCCAAACTTTTTCATCAATAGATTTTAAAAACGATCTCATCCGAGCTTTCCAAAACGAATAATTGGATTTGTCAAGTAGGGGTGGTCGAACCATAAAATTTCCCTTACGAATTGAATCCATTATCACAAATCAAACTAGATCTCGCTCAAAAGTTTTAAAAAACAAAAAAGCGACCCGCTCTGATACCAATTGAAAAATCTAGAAATCCCCTAGACGTTGATTTGTGATTATGTATCAATTTAAAGCAATAAAACAATCTCAATCAAACAATCAAGACAAATTGACACAACAATTTTAACGTGGAAAAATCACAATTGGAGCACCTCCAATTGTGATAAAAAAAACCACGGGCAACAGCCACAAAACAATCCACTAAGAAGATATAAAAGAATTACACAGGTATACTCTCAATTACCTAGCGAATCCACGCCCGAATTGAACCAACCCCTATGTGCCTCTTCCAACCCGTCTTCACCTCGGAATTGTCTTGACGATGAGCCACTCCAGAATCCACCAAAGTTTTAGGCTCGAATTCTTCAGAATCCACCGAAGAATAACTATCTTTTTTGTATAGAACAAACAAATAATCCTTTGATGTATACTCTTTAAACCGTGAGTTGAATACTCAATCAAAACATCAAAGAAAACTAGCAAAATATCCCCAGATATAAACCCTAGAACCCAAGAAGAAGATCTGGAGAAGTTCTCCTAGATTTGGAGCAACTTGCGAATTTATAGAATCTGGAATCGCGAGGTCCACTCGAGCATGGGAATTGATGCTCGAGCGGGGACACTATATGACGTGCTCCAAACCAGGATGTACGCTCGAGTGGGGATTTCGACGCTCGAGCTTGAAAACACGGATCACAGTATTTTTGTAGACTCACCCAACTTCTGGAACTCAGCATTCTCCGCTCAAGCGGGGGAATGGACGCTCGAGCGGGGAGGCAACTTTGAATGCATTTTTGCATTTTGCTTCGGGGGCGTTACCCCTCGACCCCACGAGCTGACCGGGCAGCTCAACCCCTATTATAATCAGCGAAGTGGCATTCTTGAAAGCATTAATATCACAAACTTCTCTGCAAGGCACAATTCGGGTTGGATTAGCATCTAAAAACTTATAGCCTAACTGAAATAAAAAACGCAAAAACAAATACAACTGAAAGGAATTTTGTCAAACGGGATTGCCAAGAATAAAAACCTAACATAAGCTACTGTTGTTGCATTCAACCAAACCCCCTATAAGTTCACTTATGTCTCCGTTAATTTGATTTTCGAATAAATCTAAAGTTCTCAAGTTGCAAAGGTTTCCCCATGGGATATCAAAAACAAAGGTCTTCATATAACTACTACAAAGATATAGATGCAAAAGGGAACTTATATTAAACAACCATTGAGGTATTGAAGAGTTGAAATTGTTATCAGAGATATCAAGGACGGAAAGGGAAGTGAAATTGATGTTTGGTACAGAGTGAGGCAAGTTGTGAAGTTCACAACCTTGCAATCTCAATTACGACAGAGAAGGAAGCATATTAGGAGCTTGCAGCCAATTACTACTTGCCAAAGTGAGGTTCACATTTCCAAGATTAAGATATTTTAGAGAAGATAGACCAACAAGCTAGTTTAAATCGGAAACCCAACTTGAAAGCCCAAGGAGATCAAGGTGGCGCAACTTTGATAGGTTTCCAAGATGAGGAGGAATCATTCCACCAAAAGATGCATTAGAGAGATCGAGGTAGCTCAACTTTTCAAGTGAACCTAAGAAGTTAGGGATTGCAATCCCTTGGAAATCATTCATGCTTAGGTCCAAATAATTCAAATATTTCAAGTTGAGCAAGGAGGAACTTTCCTCACCACCCAAACAAGATGAGTTGGTTGTAGGTGCATAACCAATTTTTTTGTCATAACAGTCACCGAGGTTTATATTTTAGAGAACAAGCTAGTTTAAATCGGAAACCCAACTTGAAAGCCCAAGGAGATCAAGGTGGCGCAAATTTGATAGGTTTCCAAGATGAGGAGGAATCATTCCACCAAAAGATGCATTAGAGAGATCGAGGTAGCTCAACTTTTCAAGTGAACCTAAGAAGTTAGGGATTGCAATCCCTTGGAAATCATTCATGCTTAGGTCCAAATAATTCAAATATTTCAAGTTGAGCAAGGAGGAACTTACCTCACCACCCAAACAAGATGGTTGTAGGTGCATAACCAATTTTTTTGTCATAACAGTCACAGGTTTCCAAGGTCCAGCGCTACAACATTGCAGTCTGGTTGCTGCAACCTACGCCCATCCACGTACAACAATCAATGCCTACCCAAGAAGAAGAGAGTAGACCAGAAGGATCTGTGAGACCTTTTTTGAATTCAACATGTGCTTTCCTTTCAATCTCTATGCAACTGGGTTTGGAATTGCTTGAGTTGGAACTGAATCTACTGGCTTCAAGGGAAACAAACATCAAAAACAAAGGAAGGAGAAGAACAAGTTGAAAACAACTGTTGGCCATGCTTACCAAGATACAACTCCAAGTTTTGTCAAACACAAACGTATTATATATGCAGTGATGTGGGAAATATAGGATGTTTCATGGAATCTACCAGTCAGCAACAAACTATTTGTCCTTTAAAATTCAAAAAGTATATGTGCATATAAAAGTTTATTATTATTTTTTTTTTGACTCCACTGTCAATAAAAGTTTTCTGAATTTTTTCATTCACACCACCAAGTCTAATCTTTTGAAAGAATGAAAAAAAGTCAATTTATTGACTTATTTAGATTAGATCATCTCTATATTTAAATTTTTTTTTTACAATAAATAAATAAAATTATTTTTCAAAATAGACCTAAAAATAATAATAATATTTGATAATCCGAATTTTCATAACCCGAATGACTTGAATGTCTCAAAACGATATCGTTTTGGAGATAAAACGATATCGTTTTGACACATTCAAACTATTCAGTCACATAAATTCGAGTTATTAAGTATTTTTTTAAAAATCAAGTTTAAAAAAATATATATATATATATGTATATATTTTTCTAAAAATAATAAGTCATTTGCGGTCAATTCAGGCAATGGCAGTGTCAGGTTGACCCTTTTTTCTTCAGTGAAATAATATGTTGGTTGATTATTTTTCCAAATTGAAAGTTGACCCGTTATATTCACGCAGGAGGTAAATTTTTTTTGGGTTGAGGGGCTGGTACGTTTCTATGATTTAAATTTGAATTAATTACTTGAAAGTTTTATTTAAAAATGTTATTTAAAATTTTTTACATCAATAAGTTTTATTTAATAAAATTGAGAATATTATCAGTTTTTTTTTTTTAATTTTTAAAACTAAAAATATTATTAATTTTGCATAGTAATGTTTCAGATAATTATTTCATTAACTGATAAAAAAAACAAAGTATAAGATTAAACGTTTTTATCTTTCTACTTATTGCTTTAATTCAACTATCAAATAAAATCGAGAATATTAACAGTTTTTTTTAGTTTTAAAACTGAGAATATTATTAGTTTTGTTTTTTTTCTTAGATTTGTACATCAATGTTCCATCTTCATACTCCTTTATAAACGCAAATTTTTCAGTTTTGCACCAAAAAAAATTCATTTTTTTCAAAAAAAAAAAAAAAAATTGCACATAAATTTTTTTTTTTTCAATTTAAAAGTTGATATTTTAAAGTTTTAGAAATCAAAATAAATGTCAAATCATCATGTTTCTTTATAGATAATCATAAATGGTGAATAATAATTGTTTAAAGGACAATTCCAACTACTAAAAATTTAATGAGATTTGAAGGTCCAAAAAATCTTAATTAGGACTTAGTGGATAAGTTTATAGATTAGGACTTGTGTATAAATGCCCCTTTAAATTATTTACTTAGTAAGATTCTTTATGTTGATAATTCATAAAAAAATTACGTTTATCTTTTTTATTCTTTAAAAAAAATAGATGGTCTATTGAAAAAATATAAAAGAATTTGAAAGAGTCGTGAGGCCTATCGTAAGTCTCATTTTGATGATTTGAACTTTTCATTTTTTAGAGAATTTTCAATGTACTATCAATAAAAATAATAATATCTATCTGATAATTATAACATTTTTATTTTATTGTATTTATCTCTAAAAAATAGATATTTTATTGTTTTAAATGTTTTCAAAATAAAAATATTACGATCATCAAATCAAAATATTTTTTTGTTTTATAGATAATACATATTGAGAATTTTACAAAATAAAAAATTCAAATTATTAAAATAAAATCCACAATAAATCCCAATCCTATAAACTTCTCATATTCTCTTATATTAAGAGGGTATTTGAAATTATTTAAATAAATATATTTTTAATTTTTTACAAAAAAAATATGTAAATAATATGATAAAAAAAAAATAAAAAATTAAAAAGTACAATTTTATGAAAAACAATTTAGGAATTCGAGGGTACTGCTGCGAGGGGGCTCACAGCAAATAACTGCCGTGAGCTGAAACGACGTCGTTTCATCAAGTATACACATTCAAAAAAAAAAAAAAAAAAAAAAAAAAAAAAAAAAAAATAAAAAAAAAAAAAAAAAAAAAAAAAAAAAAAAAAAAAAAATTAAAAAAAAAAAAAAAAAAAAAAAAAAAAAAAAAAAAAAAAAAAAAAAAAAAAAAATTTACAATCTGCTTTTATTACAATCTCTATCCCAGCATAAAAAAAAAAAAAAAAATTACAATCTGCTATTACTCCAATCTATGTTCCAGCATAAAAAAAAAAATTACGATCTGCTTTTACTACAATCTGTATTCCAGCATAAAAAAAAAAATTACAATCTGCTATTACTCCAATCTATATTCCAGCATAAAAAAATATTTACAATCTGCTATTACTACAACCTGTATTCTTGCATAAAAAAAAAATTTACAATCTACAACCACAATAAAGCTTATAAAATATTTTAAAAAAAAATTATTTCCGTCTTCAAAAAAAAATAAAATAATTCCAATCTTCACAATTTGATGCTGTTATGTATCAAACACAAAATAAAATCCTTTCCGCTGCTACTGTGTTTTATTTTATTTGTGTTTGATACATAACAGAGTATCAAAAATTCCAATCTTCAAAATAAATCTTTTCCACTATTATTGTGTTTTATTTTATTTTGTGTTTGATACATAACAACATCAAATTGTGAAGATTGGAATTTTTTTTTTTTTTTTGAAAAAGACGGAAAGGATTTTTTTAAAAATATTTTATAAGTTTTATTGTGGTTGTAGATTGTAAAAAAAAATTTATGCAGAAATATAGGTTGTAGTAATAGTAGATAGTAAATATTTTTTTATGTTGGAATATAGATTGGAGTAATAGCATATTGTAATTTTTTTTTTTTTATGCTGGAATACAGATTGTAGTAAAAGCATATTGTATTTTTTTTTTATTTTGCTAGATTACAGATTGTAATAAATATAATATATGTCCAAAATACTATTGAGGAGACCAAGTAGCACAGTGGTGGAAGACTCTCTTCCTCACCCAGCTTGTCTGGGTTCAAGCCCCGCAATGACCAAAAATTTTTTTTTTTTTTTTAATTGAATGTGCATACTTGATGAAACGATGTCGTTTCGTCTCGCAGCAGTACCCCCGAATCCCCAGTAGTGCCTAAAAATGTAAACACGAGATAAACTAAACACGTATGAATTTGGTCCGATATATACTTTTTGAGTTAATTACTTAAAAGTTCTATTTATAAATTTTATGGTAACTCAGGTCATATCTAAGATTTTTTTTTAAACCAATAAGTCTTATTTAGTAAATTGAGAATATTATCACTTTTTTTCAATTTTTAAAACTAAAAATATTATCAATTTTATATAGTAATGTTCTAAATAATTGTTTCATTAACGGATAAAGAAATATAGTATAAGATTAAACGTTTTTGCCTTTCTACCTATTGGATTGATTTAGCTATTCAATAAAACCGAGAACATTACTAGTTCTTTTCAATTTTAAAACTGATTTTTTTTTTAAATTTTGCACATCAATATTCCATCATCATGTTTCTTTATAGACACAAAATTTTTAATTTTACACAAAAATAAATTCAATTTTTTCAATCTTTCAAAAATATATATATAAATATATATATATATTTTTTGCACATAATTTATTTTTAATTTTTTCAATTTGAAAGTTGATATTTTAAAATTTTGAAAATCAAAATAACTGTCAAATAATCATATTCCTTTATAAATAATCATAAATAATGAACAATCATTATTTAAAAGATAATTTTAATTACTAAAAATTTAATAAAATTTGAAAATTTTAAATTTCTTAATTAAAATTTAATAAAATATAAATTTATAAATTAAAACTGACGTGTGAATGTCATAATTTTTTAAATCACACAACTTGTCTAAAAGTCATCAGCAGTCAATTCGGACAATGAGAGAGTCTCAGGTTGACACTTTTTCCTGCAGCGAAACAATATCGGTTGAATTTTATTTATTTATTTATTTATTTTTTTTACATCAAAAATTGACCCGCTATATGCATGAGGTAAATTTCTGGGATACTAACCCATAGGTCTTTGAACAATCTTATATACATTAATTGGTATATTTGATTAGTAATTTTAAATTTTTATAATCTCTATATATAAGAAAAAAAAGTCTTTTTAAGAATAATAATTGTGGAAGTTTTAAACTCTTAAATTAATTTTGTTAATTTGTTAATTTGTAAAGAAATAAAAAAAAAATCTATTAGTTAGTTCCTTAAGTCAAAAATTCAAAAATAAAAAACGTTCAAATTATCTACAATT